TTCAGATTGAATAAGGTGAGGTGATGTAATTATAAAATTGCTCTTTGCTCTAAGAGAATGCAGATAATAATGTGAGTGACTGGGTTTTTTTCAACTGTTCAGAAAGACACAAAAACAGTGAAAATGATGTATCAGAAGAGCACATTTCCATTTGGCTACATCGAGGGCCTTAAGTGCCGGGTGCTGGAGCTGCCTTACCAAGGCTGGGACCTCAGCATGGTCATCCTGCTGCCAGATGACATCGAGGACGAGGCCACAGGTCTGAGGAAGGTAACGGCTCCCACACTCATGCTTCATGTTTCCTTCTAACAGATCGGTTCAGACTGTGTGTATGTTGTGTGGTAGTAGGTCATCAATGTTTGCTACTCTGAAGCCCTAAGATTAACTTTTCAGGGACTGTCAGTGAATAGTTGTGGTGGGGAAATCTAAGAATCTATATTAAATTTAACATGTCAGTGGCAGCTCACAGGAATTTTCTTAAATTCACTTTAGAGGAAAGTGCAGTAAAATTAGAATTGTTTTACTGAAACAAATTTACTAAAATTAAAAATCTCAAAACATTTATACTGGGTAGCTTCACCTTGTACAATGAGATCCCATTATTACACTGCTCCTTCTCATCACAATTCATATAGACTATGAATTAAATTTCACACAGCTACGTGGTAGAAAAGAGCCATATGACACACTATCTTGAAAGCTAAGCCTATTTTCTCATATGAACTTTGTATGATGTTTCTATTTGATTTCAGTTAAAGGCAAAGACATTTTTTGTCAGGCTAGGACTAGGCAAAACTGTTCCTTCTTTTAATTGTATTTTCATATTTGTCTCTTCTGTGATTTAAAGAGAAATTCTCCAGCCTCATAAATGAGATAATAAGCATCAGTACAACCAGTGGAATGATGGGCCTCTTCTAGTCCAATAGTAGTAGTAATACGGAAATGATAATAGCTGACAATCTTGTGGCACTTACTAGTACTGTGTGCCAAGTGCTTTGCATACATTAAATCACTTAATGCTCACAACAATGCTATAAGGTAGGTACTATTATTAACTCTCTCCCAATTTTAGATGAGGAACTAGTCCCTTTTCTTTTTTTACCCTCAAGCTAAATCTATTAGAGATTACTTCAGCACAGTGAGTTCACAAAAACCACAGTGATCAGTAGGGTTCAGAATAGAAGAAATAGAAGAAAACTTTTGAATTTCACATTGCACCAATGAACCAGTTAAAATAATAACAGCCATCTTGGCCTATCACAGTAATCCAGTGTGCTAGGGGTTTAGGAAAGCCTGGGTGGATGGATGGTTGGGTGGGTGGATGGATGTTGAGTTGAAGCCTCGGATGTCCAAAATACCTGTTACTTGGGCCCTTGATGGCTTGGACCACAGCTCTGTTCTATTCTCACCAATTGCTGAAAAGAAATGAAATCCTACAAATGGAATCTTTTCTGGCACAAAACATGAAGGAAACTGATTAGGAACTGATAAGATGAATCCATTCACGTAAATAATGTGTATTGCCTTCCTTACGTGGAATAGTTCTCACCTCTTCTCTTGCCCTTTCTCATTTCAGATCGAAGAACAATTGACTCTGGAAAAACTGCATGAGTGGACCAAACCTGAGAATATGCGTTTCATTAAAGTCAACGTGCACCTGCCCAGGTTTAAGCTGGAAGAGAGCTACGACCTCAACTCTCACCTGACCAGTCTGGGTATAGAGGATCTCTTTAATAGCAAGGCTGATCTTTCAGGCATGTCAAGAGCCAGAGATCTTTTTATATCAAAAATTATCCACAAGTGTTTTGTGGAAGTTAATGAGGAGGGCACAGAGGCAGCGGCTGCCACAGCTGTAATTTCAGGGGGTTGCGCGCTTATGCCAGAAACTGAAAATTTTGTGGCCGACCATCCATTCATTTTTTTCATTCGACACAATCCCTCAACTAACATCCTATTCTTAGGCAGACTTTCTTCCCCTTAGAACCCCAAGGTCGAGCTCAGAGCTGTATCAATGGCCCTTTCAAAAATATATGAAAATTATATATCTTCTACAATAAATCTACCACCCCCCACAAATCTGTAACTTCCTTTCTAATGTCAGCTCTGTTGGCTGCTTACACCCATTAACTTTGGCATAGGTATCTATTTTCCTTTCTTTATATTGAAAAATTGAGTGATTGCTTATGAATGCACCAAGGAGATATGTAGACTCTTGACAGTGTAGTAAACTAAGAAACTGCTGTACTCTCTTAATAACCATGAGAAAAATTACAGTACTGTAATTTATTTCACAGATAGACTTCTGGAAGCTATGATAGAGAGACAGTCATTGTTGAAGGGAGGCTTAAAAACAGACATTCAATTGAAATATAGGAGAGCAGCCCA